TATTTAATTCCTGTCTCAGTTGAGAATAAGAATCTCATATTTAATTGATTTAGATCATACTTCTCTTTCAATCTGGCTCTGAGACTATTGTATAATGCACAGTGCATTATAATATACTCAGAATTCTCATTTGTATTGCAGAATGAGCATTCTATTGAGTCAAATCTATCATCAAATCTTTGTATATAAGATTTGAAATAGTTATGTTCTAGTTTCAGCTGTATTATAGATGAGAATATTTTCTTTTTACATTTAATTGAACAAGATTTTCACTTGGGTTTTGTTTCAAATCTTGAATAATGTATACTCTTCTTTTATTTCTGTCAGCTTTCATTTCACTTGTCTAAACAAGATTCTTTTATTTTTCTCTTTATAAAAGACCAGAACATAATTTTTTGAATAGATCTGCTTAATTCTGCACTCTTTTTTGCAGCTGAATCAGCCAATTCATTATCATGAATATTCATATGAGCAGGAACTCAGTGCAGATGAATTATCAGCTTTGATATTCTTCTCTTTTGAATTTTCAAAACAGAGTTTAAGATCAGTTCAAGATTTATTTGATCATTATGAATCTGACTATTTCTAAGTCTTTTTAAAGCAGCTTAACTATCAGAGAATATTCATATCTCTTTCAAACAATTTCCTCTTTTATGAGATTTTATTTCAATGAGTTTGAAAGCTTTCACTATTGCAAATAGTTCAGCATCAAAGACTTCACATTCAGAGCCTAGATTTCAGAAATTTGAGATAAAATTAATATTATCTTCAGTATAAGCAATGTCTGCATCTAATCTATTCAAGTTCTCATTTTTTGAGCCCTCTGAATAAATCAGATAGAGTCTTTTATATTGATTGTAGAAATTCTCTTCAATGCTGTTCATATTCTTTCTCTTTTGATAGTTCACTTATTTGTAAGTCTATAAGAGATTCAAGCTTTTCTCTTCAGAGAGATAACTTCTCATGATCAACTTTTTCAACATTTAAAGAAGAAAATTGATTTTTAATCAGAGAGTATAGTCTGTACAGTTGAGAAGACATTTTCTTTGAAGAATTATTTTCATTTCAATCAAGAAATCTATTTCAATCCAGTTCATTTCCAGAGTTAATTAATGAAAATGAAGAAGAGACTCTTTCTCTGATTATATAATTTAAGCTCATCTTTACAACTCTCAGAGCATAGTTCATACAGGCCTTTTCAAATCTAATAGCAGAAGAAGAAATTGAAGCTTCAATTTCCATTGCTTTAATAGAAGATGATTTGAATGCTCTCAGAATTCTTCTCAAGACTCTGTTTTACAGACTTTGAAAGAGTTCAGTGAAATTCTCTTGATTATTTCATCAAACTTGATCTTTATAATCAGCTACTGATGTAATACAGGCTATATATAACTGTCTCATAGTCTGGAAGAATAGACCTCTCTCTGTATTTAATAGTCTGATTATGTTGTTTAATAGTCTTTCTGCCTTGACAGTTCTTTGTTGAATGTGATATTTAAAATTCAACTTGAAGTGTAATCATACTTCTAATCATTTGACATTTACACTGGGTTTAATCTCTCTATTTAAAAGAGTTAGAGATAGTTCTTTCTCATTGAATCTAGAAAAGAAGTGAATTAACTCAGTTTTATTCATATTAAATTGAATTTGATTGATATCTGCTCTAACACAGATTTTCTTTGCAGCTTCTTCAATTACTTTCAAATTCTCTTTGATAGTTTTTGAGCTGTAGACTAGATCAATATCATTCATATAACTCAGAGATTACACTATTCTCATATTTCTATTTTTAAATAGATATGCAGTGTATATTGCAAATAAAATAAGTAAGATTGAAGATTTCTATGATACTTCTATTTTTATCTCAGTCTTGTCTTATTTCATTTCATCAAAGAAGAGTTGTATACTTCTTTTAGATATAAAACAGTTAACTCATTTTATTAGAGAAAGTGACAGTTTTAATATCTTCAATGTCTGAATTAACTTTGACTTTGAAACATGATCAAATGCTTCTTTTATATTAATAAAAACTGCAGTTAAGATCAGACCCTCATACTTTGCTATTTGAATATCATGAACAACTGAGAGAACAGTGTCAATTACAGAACACTGTTTTCTATCTCTTATTTATTCACTGAATAAAAGAGAATCATCTATAGAGCTTATAAAAGATAGTCAAGTAGCTATTATCTTTTCTAAAATCTTTTCTAGACAGTTCAATAGAGATATTACTCTATATGACTTAGAAATTGAGGTTTTTCTATTAGATTTTGTAAGAATCACTTCAGTGACTTCTCTTCAGCATTCAGAATGATATTCATTTTTCAAGAGATTGAAAAAGAGCTCAAAATATTCATTCTTTAAGTAGGAATATATATTCTGAATAATTAAGTGATTAATTGAATCAGAATCTGCAGCAGTTTTAACAGAACTTGAGAAGATAGCTGACTCTAATTCATCTTGTGTAAGATCAGGTCATTATCAGTCATTTTCATTAATGTAGTTAAGAAGTGATATATTCTCTTTCTCTTTCTCTGAATCTGAATCTGATGAGTTCTGAAAGAGAATTCTCATAAAAGCTTGACATTTTTCCTTAAAAGAGTTTGCTGTATATAATTCATTCTGAAACTCATATTCTAAGACTGAGAGTTTTGCTACACTTCTTGTTTTAGTATAGTTAAAAGCTTTAAAAACTTCCTTCTCTTATACTTCTTCAAGAAATTTATTTCAGCAGTCTGTTTTAGCTCTTTTAATATCTGAAAAATATTCATTTCTGACAGCTTTGAACTCTTCATCAGATATTACATCATTCTTTCAATCTCTTCTAGCAGTAGCTAATTCTTTTCTTTTAGATAAGATATTCTCATTTTATCAAGGTTTTAAATACTCAGAAGATTTTCTCTTTGAAATATTATCTCTAACACTTGTTAGAATAATAGATGTAATAAGCTTCACTCTATTCTCAAGTATTTCATTTGAGATATCTTGATCAGAATTTCAATATAGCTCATTCTGTCTTTCAGATTTTAACAGTTTTATGCTTTCTTCAACTGCTTTTCAATCAGCTTTTTCAAAGTTATACTGATTAGAGAGAAGAGGATTTTCACTCATTTGTTTTTCACTCAGTTCAATATTAAATTAAATAATCTCATGATCTGATTCTGATGTCTCATTTAAATTAATAAACCAGTTTACAAGTCTTCTTTTCATTAGATTTTATGATATGAAGATTAGATCTATAATAGACTTCTGTTTCATGCCTTTTCTAAAGAATGTTTGTTGATCAGACTTATTAATCAAATCTATTGAATACTCAAAGGTTCATTCAATTAAATTATCAGCTCTCACTGCTCTCTTGTATTCTGAATTTCATCAGAGATGATGTGCATTGAAGTCTCCTGCAATTATAGAGTTTCTTGATGAAGTTATATTCAGAAATCCTCTATTAATTATTCAGATATTGTTATATTCCTTCAATGACTTTTCATTATGAATATTTATAAGCTGTATAGTATCAAACTCATTTTCTTTATCTATAATATCACTCACCAGAACATCAGAATCAGACATGATATCAAATCTTAGATTAAATTGATATCTTGATCTCTTTCTTTCATAGATCACTACTCTTGACTTTATCTCAGACTTTTGAGGTAAAAAGCAGTAGTAGCTTAAATGAGAAATGATATATTTTTGCTCAGCATCAAAATTCAGCTCCTGAAGCAGTATAAAATCAACTTTTTATTCAAATGCAATTTAAAGACAAGAATAAATACAATTTGAGTTTCTATTCACATTATTTTAAATAAATGTGATTTTTGAAGAGTTTTTAAACTTTTTTTGTTGTTTTTGTTGTATATTCATACTAAAAGAGAGTAGAGTAGAATCTAATCACTATTATCAGATAGTAGATTATAACTGTTCTGAAAAGTAGAAATCTCAACTGCTTACATTATATCTAGTTTATCATCAGAGTCATTTCTCAATTCTCTAATCTTAACAGAAGTTTGAGAATTCAAATTCTATTTACATTTAGCTGGAGAATTGAAGTTTGAAGACTTAGATAGTTGAGAGTTTCTTCTTTTTAAGCTTACAGTTATGAGTTTACTGACTTGACTATTCTCTTCAGTTCTAGATTTACTCTGAGCTTCATCTTTTCTTCAGTTCTTTTGAGTTCTTGAAGCAAAAATACATTCTTTTGAGCTAGATGTATGTTTTTCTTTGCAATTAGAGCATTTAAGCAGAGTGTGTTAACATATTTCATCTCTTTTTGAGCATGTTTCACATTTATACTCACTAGTTTTGTGATCTCTGACACAGAATGCACATTTTGAGTCTCTGAAACAGGAGATTACAAAGTATTCATATCTTTGACAGTTTGAACACTGTGTTTGAGCTTTGAGATTCATTCTTGAGTCTTTGTATTCATGAACTCTTATTTTCAAATCTGCTACTCTTACTTCAGAGATCTTTGACTGTTTCATTATCTTTATATATACTAGAATAGAGGCATTTCTTCTACTTTGTCTGAACTCAATTGAATTTAGTCATACAGGCTTCTTTCTTAGTTGAATAAAGTTATATTCTTCTAATTCATTTTTGAGAAGTAGCATTTCTTCTTCACAGTCAAAAATTTCAACTGAAATATTATGAAGAATGAATTTGTCTCACTTTTCATCTCTCTCAGATAGAATTATTGTGTTTAACAAAGATTTTACTGCTGATTTTCAGAGATTCTCATTCTGAATAAGGAATTCAGCACTGAATTCAGGCATTGTAGTCAGAATGATGAAGTTTTCAAAGAAGAATGACTCAATTGAAGCTATAACTGATTTTTGAACTTCAATATCAATTATTAACTGAGAAAAGAACTGCTGATTGATTTCATTTCTAATTCTAAAAATGAGGTTTGAGTTTAGCTTATTTCTCTGCAATATATCCTGATTTGAGACTTTGAGAATAAGTCTTCTATTTCTGGAGATTTGAAGATTTTTCTCTTTTTATATTTTTTTCTTCACTTTTCTATCACTAGAAGTATGAGCAGTATTCTTCTCAGTTTTCTCAGAATTTTGAGCAGGTTTCAAGATAGCAGATTTAGAGACAGCAGGTTTAGAGGCCGCAGATTCAGCTGCTTGAGCATATATTTTCTTCTAATTTAAAGAAGAAGAAGAAGAAGAAGTAGAAAAGAAAGAAGAGCAAACTGAAGAGTCAGTGATTGTATTAGAAATTTTCAAAGTTTTTTGAACTGTGTTTGAAATTCCAAGTTTGAACTTGATCACTTTCTGTAGTTGTCTAGCCTGAGTATGAAAAATTAACAGAACTTCTTCATTCATCTCACTCAGACACTGCTTTTCAAGAATTTTACTTACTTTTTCAAGTTTCTGTATTTCAAGAACTTGTTGTTTCTCTATTTCTTCTTTCTTTCTTCTCTTCAGAATTTCAATCTCAGGAATAGCATTTGAGAAAGCATCTTTTTTCACATCAACTGAGTGTACTTTTGAACTCATTATTCTTACTTAATGAAAAGTTAGTCAGACTAATTCAATTGAGATATTTATTAAACTCTTTTGAATTGAAAAGTTGATCAGACTGTTTCAATTAAGAGGTTTCTAAGTCTATTTTCAATTGAAAAGTTGATCAGACTATTTCAAAAGAAGAATAGCAGACTTTTATGTATAAAACATCTGATTTTTTTCACACTAGTTCAGTAACTAGATTAGATTTTTGAAGAGAATCTAATAAACTAAAATTAATTTTTAAGATAAATCAATAAAATCTTTACAATCTCTTTCTTGGAATACAGTGAGGAAAAGTATGATATCAATTGATAGTAAATCAGATGATATAACAGTTTTTGAGAGAAAAACTGATAAAAAATAACTCAATTTTTTGCAGAGAAATTGATTAAAACTATTCAATTTTATTCTAAATTATTCAATTCTTCTCACACAACAAGTGTACAACTCAAATCAGTTAATAAAGAGTGTAAAAAAGAATTAAGTATTAATGAAAGCTCTTCAGCTACTGAAAAAGTAATTCTTACTTAAAAGAATATAAAATTATGATAGAAAATAACTCTGTTTTTAATTCTTTATAAGAATATTGTGTAAAATCCAGAGAAAAACACCTTACTTTTTCAAGAGAAGTAAAAAGCTATTTCTAAGATCTTTTTTTTTTGCATTAACTGCTGCAGAAGAATGAGATAGAAACTGCTAAGATATGCACTACTGTATACTCTCTATCAAGACTTTCTCTCTTCAGAGTCTTGATATTATAGAGAATATAAGTCTGTTTCTATATAATAATGTAAATATTGTCAGTGGGATGTAGAGGAACTGGTTATTTATATCTCAAAATAGAAGACTTTGTCAATGATTATATCAATATAGAGTTAATTCTCAAATTCAATAGAAATCTAGTATTGCTGTTCTCAATCTCTTGCAGAATCTATTGAATATTGAGATATTAAAACTAGATTTAATATATCTCACTGTGCAGGGATCAAAGGCTCAGTCAGATCTTGAGGTATACTGATTTTATAGTTGTTGATGTGCTGTTGACTTGTTGTCTGTTGATTATGTGCTTGATATTATCGCTGAGGTATCTTTTTGTATTTTTCTGCCGGGGATGGGCCAGATTGGGAAGGGCGGTACGAGGGTGGGACTTGGCGTTGGTGTTTTGAAACATCAAAGATGGACAGGGTTTTCGCGGAGGTCGCTCCTCAGATATCTCCACAACTACAGATAAGGGATCTTCCAAAATCAAGAAGATTGGTGCATACGGCTAGGTCTCTTCACCTTACAATTTGTATGGCAATTTGGCCCGGGGTTGTGGTGTGGTAGGGGAGAATGGGGGATAATCCCACGCAGGAGTTCCGAACGACGTCTGGTTCACATTTGGCTGGATAACTCCACCACCACACGGGGTATGCGGTCGGCGATGGGGTCACAATGCTTGTATGATCGAGGGCTTTTCGATGGATCTATCGGCGGGTTCTTATTCGAAAAATCGAGCGAGTTCGTGGTGGAGCGGTTTGTGAGAACCTGAAGAGAAGATATAAATTATATTAGCAATGTTTCAAATCTGTGATATTTAAATTATTAGTCAATCTATTCAAAATTAATAGTAGCATTATTAAAAAGTGTTATTAAAAAGCAATATTAAAAAGTGTTATTAAAAAAATATTATCTTTTATAAAATAAATATAAAAGTTACTTGAGTAATTACTTTTATCTCATTCTTATCTCAAGAATCAGTCATCTCATTATTCTTTATCTTAATATTAAGATTCTTTATCAGTATTTACATCACAAGTTAAATTACATGAGTAATGCAGAGAATATAATCTTATTTATTATTTCAGAAATACAAAGTCAATTTTTGCTCTAAGCTCTTCATCATAGTATAGTTATTCACAGTATTATCAGTTATAATTATAAAAAGACTGAGACTAATATCTTAATAGTTATTTTTAATCACAGTTATTAATATCTTTATTATATAATTCTCAGTATAACTACTGATCAATGATTCAAATTCAATTAATATCTCTTAATAAGTTCAGTTCTCATCAATATAATAATATATAACTCTTATAAATGTAAGATTGTTTATACTAGTTTATGCATTCACTGTGAGAGACACTCTTTAATAATTCTTCAACTCTGATTCTAGATATTATATATTAACTTTATAGTGTATCTTGAGATTGAATTGAAGACAGAATTGATGTGAAATATGAAGATTTGAATTAAGTATTTGAAGAAGTGTTCAGAATTCAGAATTTTCAATTGATTAAAGAGAAAGATTCAGAAATATATATATATAAAATAATTGTTTACAGAAGTTATCAGATAAGAGTTATGAAATCAGAGTACTGATATATGATTATTTTCACATGATTTTCTTCAAATTAGAAAGTTAGTGTTATCAAAAATCATTATCTGATAGAGTAACTTACCAGCTCAGTAGTAATTTTCTGATTATTTTTCTTTTATTATCTGTATTCTGATGACTTCAGATATTGAGAAATTTCTTCAGAGTTATAATCAGTTTATAATAAATGTTTCTGAATAAAGTTATAGTAATTATAGCAGAGAGATGACTCTTCAGTAATCTATAATATAATCTGTTGATAATTATTTCATAGTTCATCTTAGTATTTATGTTGAGTTTTTTATAAATTTTATAATCTGAAATCAGATATAAAGAATGAAGTAATTATTTATTATAATTAAAAGAGAGCATTCTGTGTTAAATTATAAATAATATAGACTTTATAATTCACAGTGATTTTTTGAAGAGTTTATGAATCTTCAATAGAAGTAAAAGAAGTGAAAGAAGTGAATTCAGAAGATATGATAATAATTTAAGAAAGATAATAATTTATTTTCAATAACTAATCACTGATATGTGTAAGAAGAATTAATATAAGAGAAAATAATCTTATTTCTTAGCTTAGTTATAATTTTAGTACTAACTCAGATTGAATATCATCAATGTATAAAAGTAAATAAATAATCTTGATTAATCTCTATTATATTTCTTGAAATATATTAATATTGTGAAAGAGAGTGTTACTAAATTGCATTATCAGATAATATTATTAAAAATATATTAATAATTGTGAATATCAATGTTGAAAAAATGTTGATACTTATACATTATAGATATATATATATATATATATTATTTCTGACTTGATTACAACTTGTACAATAATTTTTAAAAACTCAAAATTAATTTCAATTATTAATAATTATGAACTTATAACTAACTAATATAAAAAGAAAAAAACTTTTTCTACTTATTATCTTTCTACTCTTTCTCATTCTTCTTATCATTCTTTATAATTCACTTCTTATTCTTCTTCTTCTTTTTCTTCTTCTTATCTGAGATAATAATCATCTCAAAATCTTTCTCTACTGTCTTCTCAGAGAAGAATTCTCACTGCTCTTCTTCAGCTAGGTCAATCTGTGTCTCAAAATCCTGCATTTTCTGATCTGCTGTCTCAGGTTCCATCTCAGCAGTAAGCAGATTAATATACTCAGAGAGTAGAACTGTCTTCTCAATATTCTGAATTATGAAGTGTATTTAAGATCTGAACAAGGTCTCAATTCTCTTCTCCTCTGTCAGCTCCTGCTAATCAATTAGAGAATAGAAGTATTATTAAAAATTATTATCTCTTAATAAATAAAAAACTTATCAGTTTTAACTTCTTTATCTCTCACTTTAATATCTTCTTAATCTTCTTCTACTATCACTTATTTATAGTAACACTCTTCTTCTCTCTTTCTCTCTTCATCTTAGTCTCAAATTATTCTCAGAACTTCTTCTAGTTTCACTGCTACTATATGAGACTCTTCACTATCTTCTTCTTTAATCTCTTATAAGTGACATCATCTGTATTATTTTTATACTTAGTTCAGTCTAAATCTATCAGAAGCATTACTTAAAATTATTATCATTCTACTCTCTTACAGAGTCTCTTCAAGATATTATAACATGTCTTATAATCTGTCTTCTCTTACTTAAATATCTTCTTCTTCTCTCTCTTCAATCTGTGACAGTGCTCATACGCCTTGATAGTTTGCAGAATCATAGAATATTTAAAGAGAGATGATATAATTAGTTTTAATAAGTATTGAAGAGAGATGAAGACAGAAGAGACACTCAGAAATGATATAATAATAATAATAATAATAATAATAATAATGATAATAATAGTAATAATAGTGATGATAATAATGATAATGATGATAATGATAATAATGAAAGAGAGAGTGTATTGAAATATATTACTGACTTATCAAATATAAAGAGACTTAAAGAAAATATTAACAGCTTTCAGCAATGTACAGAAACAGCTACAGTGTTATATAGCAATATCATCTTTATTTAATACATACACTGTTAATATTCTTTATATACAGTTATTATATAATCTGTATCAGAGATACATGCAGAAAACAGATCTTTGTTACTAGAATAAATGATTACAGCAATTCTCTGTTTTCATATTATAAAGATAAGTTATTCTCATTTCTTTCTTCTCTCTTTTCTCTTCTTCAATCAATCACTAATTTCAAGCTAATATGAAAACTATTAAAACACTCTCAGAAACCCTTAAATTGAAGAGTATAGACTAATTAAATTTTAAATACAGAAGAAATCAAATTATCTTCTACAGATTTAATTATTTATTTCTTCTTAAATAAAACAACAGTTGCATTCTCTCTCTCTCTTCAATTAAATGAAATATGACCTGTGAAAAGTGAGTACTATATCAGGTCATAATGACTAACACAGTCTCAGCATACAGAGCTGTATATACACAGTATGTACTGAACTGAGAGACTGTGTGAGTTGTGAACTAATGACAGCATCTCAGAGAGAGCTGTGTGATGTGAGAAAGCTGTAACTCTTAGTTATATACATAGAGAGTGAATTACTGCAGTAAGTGCATGTACATTGAAGTAATACTTTTTGATAACACTCAGTCTCTGAT